ATACCCGGCCCTCCAAAACTTGGCCCCAGGCGAACCTCATCCTGCCACTTCCACATTACAGCAGACCTCCACTTCTCAACTCTCCAGGCCCTCCCAGGGGCCTCTGCATCTCCACTGCTGCTCTGCCATCAGGAATGGCCAGCCTCCTCTTTGCCCTTTGGCTAATTCTCCAAGACAACTAGGGGCTCTAGGTTCTGTGGCTCACCAATGCCACGTCTTCCCCTGCTATGATGCAAAACTTAACCGTCCCTCCTACTAGAGTGTACTCAAGGGCAGGAGTTGGTCTTCCCTATCTTTATGTGCTCAGGGTCTGGCCTAACGCCTGACACAAAATAGATGTTTAATAAATGCTCGCTGGGTGAATGAGAGAAGAAATCAGCCAGCGCCTGTTTAGATGGTTATATCTGAATGTCCATGATATGTAGGTCCATAAAATGACCAACTTCCCAAAGCTGCCATGTGCAGAGTGGCAGCATCTCCGGCCAAGAAGGCCAGTGCAGTCTATGAGGCATTTTACAGCTATGACAGGAAATAGCAATGTCAGCAGCGGTGTCATCTTTGGACACTAAGGACAGGGATTCAGTGCCATGAACGGTCAGTTAAATTGTAATTGGAGTGAACTGTTCCTCTGCAAACCATAATGTTCTTTAGCTGCGGCCAAATGGCATTCAAGGAGGGGAGAAATTTTTTTGAAATGTCAAAGAAATTATTTCCAATTTGGTGCTCACAACCAGAGACTCTAATGATCAGTGGAAATGAGAAGCAAACAAATTAGCACTAATGGAAAATGGCTTTTGGAAAAGAGAATGTAATTTATAGTCAACTGGTCATGGCATGCAGCATGCAGTAAAAGTCAGCTTCACCAGCTTGATCATAAGAACTGGAGCACACATGGAATGCCAGAGAAAAATATACGGATGCCATCATGCTTATTGGACTCTCTCGGTAAGTGGCAGCCAATTAAAATAGTCATGATTTTACCTTCGAGAGAAAATGGTCTGAATAATCAAAGCACATGAAATTAAAATCCGGATTAGGAACCTCGGTCCAAATTGGTTTGTTTGTGGCCTTCTGACCTTGGCAAGATCTTCTGCAAGGACGACAAACCTACTTTGTCTTCAGCCCAGAGTGGACTCTGTTTTTAATTTCCTTTCCATCTTCAGAGGTGATTAATAAATCTGGACCCATCTATAAATCATTTCTATAGCAGCCAAATGGTACTCTTTCATGCAGGGAAACTAAAATTACAGAATCTCAAAATCTCAGCCCTTCTACTAAGCCAAGGGTCCTTAGCAACCAGCGAGAAGAGGTATTATAAAATCAGGTCTTGTTTCTAAAAAAAATGTCTCTCCTCCCCACTTCCCCAAATCAAAAGACATGTTTCTAAAAGCAAGAAGCCTCCAGGGCATGGGCTGCCAGCCGGGCTCACTGTCCCCAGGTGGCCTTTGGAACCACAAGGCAGTCACTGTGGGCGATGACTGCAGGTTTCACCTACAGAATGGCACAGAGGCATCCTCCTTGGCTCCCATTCCCACTACTCACTCAGCTCCTCACTCAGAGAGAAAGAGAGGGAAGGAGGCCAGGAGGGAGAAGGGAGACGGAGAAATAAAGAAACGTTCTTCCAAACTTCAGCCTGAGCTAAGGAGGGTGTGTCCTGGTCCTTACTTCCACCTCAGGGCAAATGCATTACAATGTGTCACTTCCTTCTCTCAAACTCCCTAGCTTCTGCTCCTGACTCATGCCCTCCTTACAGACCCCTCTTGCCACCCATTTCTTCCCCACAGTTGCCTTTCCTTCCATCCTCTCCTCATAGACCATTCCCGCCCCATCTCCTTCCTGCAAAACCATCTGCCTTCCTCCTCTCCCCAGACCTACCCTCATTTTCTACCCAGATCCGACTTTTCTTCTCCCATGTCTCACTTCTGCCCCCAACTGCACACCACAGATCTGTCCTCATGCTCTCCCCTCAAAATGCAGCTCTTTACATCAACCACAACCTCTACCCACATTCTCCTCATCCTTCATTGCTCTTTGCTTCATCTTCCTTGACTGGATTTCCTACCTTCCCTTCCCTCCCCAACCTTCTTACTCTGCCCTTGAAAGCCTTTGTTCCTGATCAGGAAAGTCTCCTCCACTCTGAGCCTCTCCACAGTCTCTCTGCCTACCTCCAGCCTGCCCAGAAATCTGCCTCTATTCAGGGTGCCACTTCTGCATAGCCCTCCCTGGTGGAGACTTTATACCAGTGATGGCGAACCTTTTGAGCTCGGCGTGTCAGCATTTTGAAAACCTTAATTTAACTCCGGTGCCGTGTCACATATAGAAATTTTTTGATCTCTGCAACCATAGTAAAACAAAAATTTATATTTTTGATATTTATTTTATATATTTAAATGCCATTTAACAAAGAAAAATCAACCAAAAAAGTGAGTTCGCGTGTCACCTCTGACACGCGTGTCATAGGTTCACCATCACTGCTTTATACCCTTATCCCCCAAGGACGTCAGGCTTGAGAGTGGGGCTAGTGTCTCCTCTCAAAGCCCAACCCAGCTCCTTATTCCATCACCTTCTTTAAAAACTATTGCTCCTTTGAGGGTCATGCCATGCAGCTGTATTGACCTTTACCCCTCCTCATGCTGTCAACTACAGATTCCAGAACAACCCACTTCCTTCAGGGACTTCGGTGCCTAGGTCACAAGCATCCTCTTCCCTTTTCCCTCAAGTCCTGCCATCATCCAGGAAGATTTCAATCGTCATGTCTACACCTTGAATGTCTTCTGTACTTTACTTCAGCCACACACTCCCATGGCCACACCCTGGACCTCGTCATCACTTGGAACTAATTAAACGTCATCACTCCACTTCCTTTTTTAAAAATAAGACTTAAAAAGAAAAAAATAATTAAGTATATATATATATTTATTTTTCTGTATTTTATTAAGCTGCAAAATGTTTTGAGAATCTATAAATATATATTTATTGATTCCAGAGAGGAAGGGAGAGTTAGAAACATCAATGATGAGAATCATTGATCAGCTGCCTCCTGCAGGCCCCCTACTGGGGATCAAGCCTGCAACCCGGGCATGTGCCCTGATAGAGAATCGAACCTGCAACTTTCTGGTGCATGGGCTGATGCTCTAACCACTGAGAAACACAGGCCAGGGCTCATGCCACCTAAGTGAATTTCTCCACCAGTGCTTTGGATTCCTTATGTTATTCTAATTCCAGGATTGCCACTTTCTCAGTTATCTCTCTTTCTCTATAATTTTTTTCCTTTATCTGGATCCATGCCAACAGCATTTCTCCCATCTGAATAAAAACTTGTGTCTCCTTCCAGCTATTGCTATCATTCTTTTTTCTCCTAAAGAGCCAACCATCTTGAAAGTGTATTGTACACGCCGTCTTGGCTTTCTCATCTTTCCAGCTACTTCTCAACTCACTGTAATTTGACCTCTGCTTCCAGTACTCCCCTGAAACAACGTTTGAAAAAGTCAGCAACAACTTCCTTGTTTCTAAATCCAGTGGATTTTTTCAGACCTTATTTTATTAGTCATCAGCCTTCAACACTTTCCTCCCCTGGCTTTTGAAATACCACATTCTACTTCTGATTATCTTACCACTCTGGACACTTCATCTCAATTACCTTGCAGATTCCTTCCCCTTTGCCCTCAGACTTGAGTGCTTCTTAGCGATCTGTCCTCAGCTCTCTTCTCTCCTTATTCCACACATACTCTCTGGGCCAGCCCACTAAGTCAACCCACTGGGGTGGCAGCCATCTGTAAGGCACTACAGACTGCCACCTTTCTACTTCCAGTTTAGACTTATCTTGCAAACTCCAGTCAGGCACGCTCAACTGGACACCTCCACCTGGATGTCCCACTGGCACCTCAAATTTTGCCAGGCCCAGAACTTACCCTCTCCTAAAACCCCTGCTTCCTCTCCTTTCTGTTTGCCCAAGCTAGAAGTTTAGAAGTCATCCTTCCTTTCTCCCACTTGCCTCACCAGGCACCACGTCCAGTTCTTTTCAGCTCATAAGTGTCTAAGGAATCCATCCTCTCCCTCTTCATTCCTGATACCTTTCCCTGCTTTAGGACATCGTAACCCATCCCCATTGCCGAAACAACTTCCTAACTCGTCTTCCTCCGCCCAACCCCCAATCCACCCTCTGCATTGATCTTTCTAAAACACAAATATGATTGTTACTCCTCGGCTGAAGCCCTGCAGTGACTCCCCACTGTTCTTAGGATAAGCTCTTGCACTCATAGGAAACACACTGGGAAATTTTTACCAACAGTAAGATTTACCTATAAATTCAAAGCTGAGCTTGGCATCAAAGACCCTCCAAGATGAGCCCAACTGTTCTTCTACGGTTACTTTCACATCCGTACCTCCTCTGGCCAGATGCTGATAGTTCTGGCACTCATTTTGAGTTCCCGTAAAGAGTCCTTTCTCCTCTGTATCTCCACAGGTCCTTCAAGGTCCACCTCAAGAGTCATCCCCACTTGCCATAATATCCCTTCAACGCTTTCTGAGCTCACACAGTTAGAATTGGTTAATGAATAGTTTCCCCCTTCTCCTTTTAAGACTTATGGAAGTCAAGGTCAAAAGCTTAATCCTCACTAGAGCCCACCTACATAATAGGTGCTCCGTATTCGTTAAATTCATGGATAAATGCAAGAAAACTGTATTACTTAATCCCTTTGTGTCCCCCGCGAATAGAGCATTCTCTAAAGTCTTCCTCTGTAGTTTTCCCCACTGCCTCCTACCCACCCCATCAAGAATATGCCTCGCTCCACTGAGCGGAGGATAGGCCGGCACGCGCCCCCTCGGCCGTTTTGTACGGTTTTCTACCTCCCGTTGTCAGAGCTGCGATAATAGGGGATGGTAGAGGTAGCTAGACCAGGTAAATGCAGGGCACTGTCCACCCCGCAGGGTAACACGCAGTTGAGAAAGGAGACCCTCTCCACTCCCAAATAGAGCAACTCTCACGCAGACCCTCTTACCTACACAGGAGGGTGGGGACTCTTCTTGACCGGCGTCCAGGCTGACCAATACCTAACCCACATCAAGCAAGTCAGCCAATAGCTGCGGGCCATGGATAGAGTGGGGCGGGGCATGGTTGCTAGGGCCGAGCTAGAGGGGCGCGGCCAGAGGCTCCGAGAGAGACTCGGTGGTTGCTAGGGTGGGAGGTCACAGAGCGCGCCCAGGGATTGGGCGGCGTTGGGCGAGGTGGGTGGTGATTGGGCAGTGTCCAGGAGGCGCCCGGGTGAGGTGCGAGCGCTCT